CCCACAGGTGCTTTCAGCTTTTCCCCTACAACTTGGGGCATTGGCCTGATGATTGTAGTGCTACACATTGGACTGCAACCAAGGCTTTAACTTCTGTGAGCAAACCTAACGTAACACTTATCACACTTCACACAAGATGACCAAATTAAAGTGAACTCAATATGCCTCATTAACATAAAACCCGTAGAGTTATATAAAAATGAGCACGTGGTAGTCTGTACTCAGTACCCCTGCGCTGACACATTTTCTTCGCTGCTCAGCTCTGCGCTGCCGCGCACTGCAGGGCTGTGCGTTTCTCATCATGCCTTGCTTGCGCAGTCCGTCCCTTACACGCCCTTGCCGACTCACTGCGGGAGCCGCTTGTATTGTCTTCTTTCCTGCCCTCGGTCGGGTCGATGCCTTGACAATTAGTCTAGCGAGCTTGACGCCAGCCACTGTGCACTCCTTCCTGATTGGCTGAAGCGAGAACGGACAGGTCAAAGGCTTGTCTCTCGTCCCGCACGCAAAACGGCACACCTAGCCTTTTCACGCTAACTCAACTGGACCGAGGTAGCACTTGCTATTACTTGACAGAGCCTGTTGTAAAAAACTCTCCTTGCGCAGTAAACTCTGTCTTACCTGACTTGTGATTTCGGGACCCTTCTATTGTCGACACTACAATCAACGAGGAGCATACGGTTCATTCAGGCGACTCTTGGTGACCTAAAAACCGAAGCTTTAATAGTGCGCTGGTACAGATTATAATACTAATTGTAATATTAGTAGTAGCAGATGTAGTAGTAGTACTACTAGTAGTAGAAGTGTTGTAAATAGAATAGGCACAATCGTTTGATTGAGTAAGCATAAACAAAACGGACGGAAGATTCAAAACTGAGGAGTAGGATATAATTGTCTTTTCCTCGTGTTACAACTGACCTATTGGAACTAAATCGAAAAACAGAGTATTAGAGAGATATAAATTGGTCAGAGTAATAAGAAAGCCTGACATCTAGTGTGAGTAATAGTATCAGTAGTAATATTATTAGTGTTAGTAGTCGTGGTAGGCGACGGCTTAGTACTTCTAATTACCCCCAAAACCCTTCTTTTTGCCTAACCTTTATCTTGGCTACGGAAGACAAACTATTTGGAATGCAAGTTAAGCTTTGCTCCCATCCTCTTCAGTAATGAATGGTTTTGGTGGCTGTGGCAAGGTCCAACACCCGATCCTGCCGCAAAGCTCTACATGAACATTTTCTATCCGAGCGGCTTCGCTTATGCTGACTTTGCGAAGCAATTCAAGGCTGAATTCTACGACCCCAAGCACTGGGCGGACGTCTTCAAGGCGTCTGGAGCCAAGTATGTGGTGCTGACTTCTAAGCATCACGAAGGCTTCTGCAACTGGCCTTCGCCGACCTCCTGGAACTGGAATTCTGTCGATGTGGGTCCGAGGCGTGATCTCGTGGGGGAGCTGGCTCAGGCCATACGCAGCAAAACTCAGCTGCAGTTCGGGCTTTATCATTCCCTCTTTGAATGGTTCAACCCCCTCTACCTTGCCGATCAAGCCTCGAACTACACCAAGCAGGTACCTATTGTCAGCCTTCCCCCCTTCCCCTCCTACAGTAAATTATATAACTCGTCAAAAATCCCCAAATTTGCGAAAAATCGATAATCAAACCGGCACTAGTGCCTGCCCGAAAACTTGAATCTAATAACGCGAAAAATCTTAAGTGATTGTTTTAAACTTAAAGGCAATAGAAAAAGTAATATTAGCATGTCTAGTGTGAAAAATCGTTGTGAGACTGTGATTAATGAATGTAAATGAAGTTGTCAGGTGAAATCGCGAACACCCCATTTTGTTTGTGTATATTAATAGAACTTCCTCTTCGTCGAATTCCTTTATAGGTATTGCTGGCATTGAATTACAATTCATTTCAAAATCTTCTTGAAATTCCTGAAATACTTCACGATTTTCCATGTTTTCAAGTGTTTTTTTTTCATAAATTTAGATTCACACGTTCGTTTGTATTGGAAATCTAGATTCTGTTCAATATGGTTATCAAGATATGTCTTAAAAGCATTAACCAAAGAAGTGAGTTTTTGTATAGCATTTCGTTTTAAGAGGACCGTTCGTAGGTAGGAATTAATCGTAGGGCTGCTCACTGCCAAAAGTCTCGCAGCCGAAGTATATGACGGAATTCTTGGGTAAAGAATTAATGCTTGATTAAAGAGCAGATAGCGCGTATTTACTGCGTGATGAGTTTGCAATAGGAAATAAGGTAAAGCCGTTTGTATTTGTTTTACTGCACTAAAGATATATGCGAAAGGCATGCAATAAGAACAAAAAACACCAATGGAGACTCCTATTGGACAGCAAAGAAGCCTTTTGACCAAAAACTATAAGAACATTCCTATTGGCTAACAGCGCAAGCCTATAGACCAAAAGCAGTATCAAAACAACTCCTATCACCATTAGATGGTCTCACTGGGGTTCTGTCGATGTGGGTCCGGGGGGGGGAGGGAGCTGGCTCACGCCATACGCAGCGAAACTTAACTGCAGTTCGGGATTTAGCATTCTCTGTTTCACTTGCTTAACCCCTTCTACCGTAACGATGAGGCGGCGAACTACGCCCAGCGGGTACCTATCGACAGCCCCTCCTCCGTTTAAAAAATATTACTTAATTCATATAAAATTCCGAAAATCATTTGCAAAGCGACGGTACTGCGTGCATCAATCTCGCAAATGATAATGAACGGCCATAAACGAATCCTGTAAACTTGAATGTCATATAAAATTTACTGTTAGTTTGTTTAGAAATATCAATTGATTTTTTGAAAAGCTTCAAATTCGGGAAAAAGTGAAAATCGCTTTGTGGCCCTGACCTATAAATTATGAAAAAAAATGTCCGATGAAATCGTAAACACCCTATTTTTATGCATATTAAAAGAACCGTTCTTTCCCGACACAAGCGAAAATGCGAGTCTCGGATGTAGCTGAGAAGAAGCAGAGGCTATGGTTGGGAAAAGAACTTTGTTCGTCTGCCGTTTCAAAATCCGCCACGGATCCCCCATCAGAGACAACAGGAGAAACCAACAGTATACAGGCGCTATTCTACTGCATACTTATGACATCTAACGTCTCCCCTTATGGAGGAGAATTGCCCGCTTGTGCACTAATTGCTTGATGGCCGGCGAGCGCGTCGTGACCTGCTGAACTTTTATCCCCGGTGCTGGATTTGGGTGAGATGATTGCTCGGCCATCTGGCGCAGGCATTGGACAACGTGTTGGCCTCTGCGTTTCCCGAGTGCAAAGGACTTTGTTCAAACTGAGGCTCAGCACCGAATATGGGTTGGGCAGGTTATTGCACTTCTTTATAAACTGGGACCCCGCGCCGTCTAATACCGGAGCCAGGGAGCCAGATAGCCGACCAATCATCACGCCCAAATCTAGCGTAGGTAATGAAAGTTCAGCACGCAGGCGTCCTGACATGACTGAGCTACCTCGTAATTATGTTCCGGGTTAGTTAATAGTACTAAAGTACTCTTTTTAAATCGAAAACTCATTTTAAAAATTCGGTGAATATTTCATGAGATAGTCTCTCTACTGTGCTTCCTTTTTTAAATTTTCATATTAAACAAGTGTATGAAGTTTAAGACAACTTTCAACTATAGCAGCACAGTTAATATTGCCGGCAAAGACAAGGGAGACTCGAATGGCGGTACGACTGGCTGACGACGGATATAATAAACCAGAAATGGCCATTCTAGTCCCCCTTGTCTTTGCCGGCAATATCATCTGCCTTTACTACCAGCTGCTAGAGTTGTCAGGGCCTTTGTCGAGGCCCAAGGCAAAGCGGGTCGGATGAGTTCCGTTAGCGGTCGGTGAATGTTCATCAGCGGGTATAGCAGCACAATTATGCGATCAGAGTTGGATCAGAAGATTGCTAACAATGACAGGAGCAGTTCGCAATGT